GGACACCATGAACAATGAAAAGCCAATGAAAGCAGGGAGTGTCAAGACAGGACAGGAACCCAGGAAAGAAAGCTACCTTTCAAGCTTCCAGAAGAGATGGCCTGTCCACATCCTGATTTAGCCCAGTGGAAAGCCATTTTGGAAATCTGACCTCCAGCATCCCCTAATAAATTACCTGTAGTTTGAGGCCATTTAATATAATATAATAAACAGTTATTTTAAAATTATTTCTCTTATTCTTATGGGGTTTTTAAATATCATTTAACAAAATACAACAAAAAGTAGCCTGAGCACTCCAAAATTATGTACTGCCAAACTTAGTCCATACGCTCAAATGCCACGTAGGACTGAGCTCCACTAGTGTCATATCCTAGGGAGTCACACACTGGGGAAACACATACCAAGACATGCAATAAAAAATATATGATGTATGAACATGACACATATACTCCATTCCCCTCCCATGAATGTGTTTTATCTTAAATGAGCCGAGGCAGTGAGAAATGAGTAGCAAAAATGAAAGAACTAAAAATTGTGACTAGGTACACAATTCATTTTTAAAAATACACAGCTATCTTTTTCAGGGTTTAGCAAAATCTTCTACCAAATTCTATATGAGAACTATTATACTTCCTAAGCTTATCCACAAAATCCCATAAGGTAGGCATTATATTTTTCTGTTCTTGATAAATTTCACAAGTCTCATGTTCAAAATGAAAAGAGGCCAAGAATAAACATTAGAGAATGAGCTCTACCTCTACCTAAAGAAAGATCTTCTACCACAACTGCAATGTGCAGAGTAGAGCCTCCTTTAGCAAACACTCACTGTCATTTTCTAAAATTTATCAGGATTGTAAAACACATAATGGCAGTGAAGAGTTCTTATAAACACAGAGAATAAAATATTACAGTAATCTTCTTGCTTTAGATACCATGTGTCTATTTTGGTCATCACATATTTTACTATTCTTTTTTCTTTAACACTGTTTGGCTGGCATTTATTTCCATAGATACTGAAAACTGCAGATTATGAAGAATATATTCCAGCATGATTTTACATAATTTAGCACAAATTTTATGCATGACAAAGTAGAGGGACTGCTGGGAGCATGGAGATAACAAAGATTTTGGCCCCTAACGTTTTCATAGTAGTAGGGATACAGGCAGGTCAAAAGACTAAACAACACTAAAAACCAAGTGAAAATAGGCTTTAATCTAAGCAAAATGCTCCTGTCAGAGAAGCCGGAACCCAAAGAAGCTAAAGATGGAGGAAAGCCAGGTCTAAAAGAAGCTTTCATTCTGCAGGCATGAAGAACCAATGAAGGTTCTGGATGGAGCAGATAGCACAGTACTTACAGCAGGAAGGACAGGCATGAGGGAAAGACCAAGAAGGGGCAGGAAAGCCTTCAAGTGCAAGGCTATCTGAGGCAGAAGAGAATAGGAACTAGAAGTGGAAGAGTGAAAATGGAAGATTCAGAATAAACAGCACATTCAACACACACAGTTACACAACCTACTAAAGTAACTGCTAATATAAATAGACCAGGGCCCAAGATGCACACAACTCAGGTTGAAATGCCAGGTCCATTTGTTCAAGGAAATAGCCTTTGATAACTAAAGCTCTGAGCCAAGTGTAAGGAAATAGCTAAAGCAATGCAAAATTAAAAGCCTGGCAATGCCAGAATTCCTGAACTAGCAAAGTTAGACTGTAAGGCCAAAGAAAATGGAAGGATTGATGATGCAGCATCCCAAAGAGCAACAGAAAAATGGCCATGAAACAGACTGTTAGCTTCTCACCTGTTTTTCTTCCAGCCCTCGGATATTTAACTATGCTAAGAGAGGAAACCCGGATGTGGGTTGTTGTTTGCTTGTTTGTTTGTAGAAGTGAGCAGAGAGCAGAGACCAGTCTGGTGTGATAAAGGAAAACAAAACTCAAAGCTTTGGAGTGAAATTGTAATTTAGGAACAATTAATTTATGGAAATTGTACTTTTATATAATTTAGCCACTTAGGCCTTTGAAAATCTGACCAAAACACAATCTAATAAGCTCCGAGTACAGCACAGTCTTACTGGAAAGCAACCTGGCCCTAATCATACTGCTCTTAAAATTATGAATTGCAACATTCTCAAAGATGTAACTATAAAATGTACTTTCCCCTCAATAGGTCCCCACACATAATGGAAAGAAAACTCTATTGTCTATTCTGTTCATGTAAGTTTCTTCATTTAGATTATTCAGACTAAAAGCTAAAAACTAAACCTTGAAAGACATAAGCTACTCAAACCCTAACCGAATCTCCTTTAGGTCAGTAGACCAGAATTGGTCCTCTCTATGTTTTTAGGACTAATTCACTGGGTAATTAATTTGGATAGTAAAATAGCTGTAATTTAAATCATAAATACTAGATACCCAACACCCAAAACTTTACTAATTATGCGCAAATCTCATTCTTCAATCTCCTGGCTTGTATGTCTAAAAACAACACATTATTTCATAAAAAACACAATGTAATAGGCTAATTCATAAACCATTTTTTTTTGGTCTTTTTGAGACAGGGTCTCCCTGTAGCCCCAGCTGTCCTGGAACTCACTATGCAGACCAGGCTGGCCTTGAACTCACAGAGATCTGCCTGCCTCTGCTTCCCAAGCACTGGGATTAAAGGCGTGCACCACCACACCTGGCCATAAACCATTTTATGCTTTAAATATTTTGTCAATTGCTGCAAAAAAATCAGAACTGAAGAGAAAGATGACCTGCTATAAATCAACGTGACATTAGTTTATAGGTTACCTAGATGGTGAGCATTATGGCTCAGCTACAGCCACAATGTTTGACATGGATGAAGCCATTGAACTGCTTACTCACAGCTTTAAACACCCAACCTTGAAATAAAGGTCCCAATTCATGCTAAAGTATAATTTGAGGGAAAAAAAAATGTTTTCAAGCATTCCAAGAATCAAGATTCATGAAATAAATCACCAGCATTCCGTTTATTAGAACTAGGGTGTCAGAATTCTGGGCCAAAGAGTAGGGAAGGGTAGGGGTAGGTGCTTGAGCAACGAGACAGGGACATACTGGATTTCTAGTCAGAAGAGACAAATGTAGGGAAAAGCAGAAACTCAAAGCTACAAACAACACTTAGAGGAATTCATGTGCCCGTTTCTTTAAAAAAAAAATCATTTTAGAATCTTCCTAATACACATGTGTGGAGGAATAAAAATTGTACTTCTTTCGAAGATCCGGGGTTTGGTACATCTCTCTCAGTAACTCATCACAGTTGGTTAGAGATCATTCCATGTAACACACTTAACCATATTTATTGATCCAAACCAGTGATTCTCAACAGAGGTTAACTTTTTGCCTCCAGGGGGCGTTTGGCAGCATTTGGGGGATCACAGATTTGGGGCTTCTAAGAATATCTAAAGGATGGAAGCCAAAGACATCCTACAACCCCCAAGACAGCCTGTACAACGAAGAATTATCAAGTTTAAAATGTCAACTGTTAGAAGAAATACTGATGCATTCTCAGTACTACAAAAGCAAAAACCTACTTTTATAACATTTATACTAGTCATATTATTAAAGATAAGCCACCACCATGGGATGACTCCTTTTGCCACTGCTTTTAACATGGTGGATAGCTGGTTCTGAGAGTCCAACAGGAAAACACTAATATATTCAGAGCAGGTTCAACGAAAACGCAGGGAAAGAACTTTCTAATCCTGTATTTAAATTTTTCTTATTGTAGCACATGTAAATCACAAGAGGGGCATCTACAGGGTTCCGTATAGAATTATGTCTCTTCTATAGTCAATATTCTAAAAATGTAATGACCTCATCAACACACAGTATTCATATTAATATAAAAACTCGACTGAATTTACAGAGAAAGGTTTATGATTGAGGCTGTGGAGGGTGGAAAAAGCCACCCAGGTCTTTAAAATGCAAAGTTATTTCACAGTTTGCTTGCAAAATGTCCCAGATCGTTATTTTTTAGTAATGCCAAGTTTGTTTCTTCTAAAGCCTACTAGTCATGGAGAAAGGAAAACTCCACCATTTTTCTGCAGTCATTATACCAAAGGAACAGAAGCTTTTAAAAAACAGGTTTGAGCAATAATCTCTTTCTCTTTTTAATCACAACTGTTAGGGAAAAAAAAAAAAAAAATCAAGCAATCGCCGGAAGTGCAAAGGACGATTCTAAGAAACCTTTCATCTACCTAAAGTCCTAGAGTGTGGGAAGAAAACAAAGGGAAACTCGAACTCACAGATCTGAAAGGCATAAGCTGTGAACATTTTCCTCACACATCCGCAAAATCCTGGTTTAGGCTTACATTTTCCCTACTTCAAAAAACTGGAAGATAACCCTACAGGCTTTCGCCAAAGCGGTGCTCAAAACAAATAAAAACACCTGGCAAACCCCACGTCTGGGAAAGCACAGGAGAGGACAGGACGCTGTGGTTGAGTATGACCCTTCGCACCTTTCAGAGCGGTTTTCATCCCCAACATCTTCCTCTCTACTATTAGAGCAAACGTATGCCAACTTTGGTGGCTTCCATCCCCCACCTAGACAAAAATTAAGCATCCAGCGCAGCCCATCTTACGCAGGAAAAATCTAACCAGTGATATGCCACTCACTGAGTCGCCATAGGAAGTTGCCTGGCGAGACCACTCCGACCCCACAGAGCACCACAAAAGGCGCACCGAGGCGAGCCCACGGTGCTCGCCCGGCGTGGGAAAAACCACCCGGCGGCACGAACCCCGCACCTAGGGGGTCTCCGCGGAGACAGGTGCTTGGCTTTTCTGTCCTCAATTGTCCCTTCGTTTATGAGGGCTGAGCTCAACTTCAGAGACCAGGGTTCCCACGCGCCCCGCCACGCTCTCTGTCGCCCGTGAGGTCGCAGGACAGCGGCCACCGAGGAGAGGACCACCTGCGCTGCACAGGGGCCGGCACGCCGCCCGCGGTCCCCGCAGCCCCATCCCTGTCCCCGCGGCTGCGCTCACCGAGCAGCAACAGCTTGACCTCGCGCGCCGCCTTCTCGCCGTCCTCGCGGAGGTTGCGGTCGATCATCTTGCTGCGCTCCACCGCCGCCTTGTCCTCCGCGCTCAGCGTGCAGCCCATGGTGGCCGAGCGTCGCCGAGCCCCGGGCGCCCGGGGCGGCTGGCAGCGCGGGCAGAGGCTGGCCCCGAG